CTCGTTCCACAGCCTCTTCTGAATCCAGCTTGAACCTCTGGAAGTTCTCTGTCAATATATGATTGTAGCCGTTTCTGTATTACCTTTAGCAAAATTTACTCGCTTGAGATATCAGGGTAGGTGGCAGTCATCATGTATCTAAAAACAAAGACAGTATCTTACCTAATCATAGTACAGCCAATCAAATTCAGGAAGTTTAACATTGATACACTATCATTAATAGTTGCAGCAACTGGCTCAAGCATCCCCAAATTGTGAGGTTTGTACAGCACCAGGCAGGGTTTCCTTCTGTTAAATATAAAGTAGTTATGAGTCAGTGCCCATTCCACAGCAACTAGCAATAACAATATTATTATTAATCTAGAGTGAGATACAGTCCATATTAAAATTTTTGCAAATCATCTCCAGTATGCTGTACTTTGTCTGACTTAAGCATTAGACTGCTAACTGCAAGGTTCAGACCCACCAGAAGCTCCTCAGAAACCCTATACATGATCGCTATGAGTTGGAACCAATTCCATAGCATTTAACAACAGCAATAAAACAATAGAAATTTATTTTCTCATAGTTCTGGGGCCTGGAAGTCTGAATTTAGGGCATTGACAAACTCATGCTCTCTGTCTACAGGAACATCTTTTTTTGTCTCCCAGCTCTGGCAGCCCCAGGGGCTCCCAGGCTGTGGCAGAGTGACTGTGATCTCTGCCTCCACTGTCTCCACATGACTATCCATCCCTTCTCTGTGTCAGTTGCTCTTTGCCTCTTCTGTTTTTATCATGAGGACGAGTCAGGAGTCCTGATGTGGTGCTGTGGGCTAATGTGCTGGACTGCAAAGTTGGTTTGAACTGCAAGGTCGGCTGTTCAAGCTCAGCAGTCGTTCCTTGGAAACCCTATACAAGGTTGCTATGAGTCAAAACGGACTCAATGGCACTTAACAACAAGAACAGGTTAGGGTACAGCCTCCTCCAGTTTAAACTCATTTAATTTGACAATTAAAGTGCAAAGGCACTATTTCCAAATATATTACTTTCACACAATCAAGACTTCAATACATCTTGGGGACACACAGAGCAAGCAATTGAATCCATAAGATACACGTTTCGTTGTCTTTGGAACATATAACTTACTGTTCAGAAATTAGGGTAGTCTTTTGACTCCTGCCTCCTGTAAGCTTTGTTAACAAAAAAAGACTAGGGATTTTTGAGGAGTTGCTCATTAATAATAAATAAATAAAAACTGCCCAGGGAAGAAGGACTTTAATGTTTTGATTTTCTAAACTTTGGCTGGGTTTAGGTGTCTTGATTCAGTAAACTGTAATGCAGCAAGGGTTGATAAGCATTACAGGAGGGTACTGAAGCTTTACTTATTTCATAATCCCAGTATTTCTTTCTAGAAACCATCAGTAACCTCCAAATGACTGAGTCAATTTTTGGATCCAATTCTTATGACCAAGCAAATGTTTGATTTGAAACCAACCCATCAGAAATGTAATCTCCATGCTTCTAACTCTCTGTAGCTACTCTTGTATTTCTTTCAGCACTGGGGAAACAATCTATACACGAAAAATGTCTAAATCAGAAACCCAGGTGAGTAAGTAAATGGTCATACTTCTGTCTTTTCACCTAATGGTCCACTGACAGAAACATGCAGGAAATCTGTTATTTCATTGCCTAGAGGTCAGCATGGCAGTGAGTAGAGTAGGCTATGGTTAGAAGGGAAGTCTCAGTGCTTATATTTGTAACCTTAACAGAATTGCCCAGCACTTTATTAAGGGTTTACCTTTATGTGTGGTGCCATGTTGAATACTGAACAAGTAAATAATGTGTAAATAGGGTTTCTGCCTTTCAGAAGCTCGTATCCTATGTATCTCCACAGGATTACCAGTAGGACACACTGATAAAGAGAATTGTGTAGACTAGAAAACTTTTGGTATTCACTTTTAAATATTTTGTGAAATTTGGCCTTAATGTTCTAGTGCGTAGATCACTGAGGTGAATGAAATTGTGCATATTCCCCATATTTAGGTAAATACTTTCTTCCTTTCCCCCAAATAAAGTCCTTATGAGATTTTCCTCTATAATATTTGACTCACGATGACTAGAATTGAAACTGATCTCTCAGTGAGGGTTTTGGGGATGGAGGTTATCTCTTCATTTCTCTTTAGCTTTTCTACTGACCAGCCATTTCCTAGCGCCTGATTGTCCCTCTAACTCTTTACTTTGAAAATTTTCAAACTCACTGAATGCTGAGAGAAGAAATAAATATTAAATGAATACTTGTGTAACCTTCACTGATACTCTCCAATTGTCAACATTTTGCCATTTTAGGTGTCTATCTCTCTTGATCTCTCTCTCTTTATTTACTGAACCATTTGAGAATAAACAAGAGACTTCATTATACTTTCCCTCTATTTAGGCATGGACCTCCTAAAAACAAAGGTATTCCCTTTTTTAAACATTGTATCGTTGCCATGCTTGCACCCTTTTTTTAAAAAAGCATATACCTAATGTCTACTACTCCGATCATGGAGTCCTGCTGTGGCACTGTAGGATAAACACTGGACTGCTAGCCACAAGGTCAGTCGTTCAAACCTACCAGCTGCTCTTTGGAAACTCTATAAAGGATTGCTATGAGACAGAATTGAATTGACTGCACTTAGCAACAACATTCAGACCATATCCAAAATATCCTCACTGGTTCCCCAAAATGTGTTTTATGGCTGGTTTTCCCCCAGTTCAGTTTCCAGTCAAGGATCACACATTGCATTTTGTTGCCATGTATTTTTAACTCAATAAGCTCTGGTGGCACAGTGATTAAAGCACTAGGTAGCTAAGCAAGTGGTTCAAAGTGAGATCCCATCAGACATTCAGTAGGAGAAAGATGAAGCAGTCTGCTTCCATAAAGATTTATAACCTTGGGAATCCTTTGGGGTAGTTCTGTTATACAGGGTCACTAGCTCTGCTAATCTCACGGTCAGCAGTTTGAAATTACTAGCTGTTCCCAGGGAGAAAGATGAGACTTTCTGCTTCCGTAAAGATTTATAACCTCAGAAACCCTATGCAGGGTCGCTATGAGTTGGAACCAACTCCTTGGCACATAACCACCACCACCACCACCATAAGTCAGAATGAACTGGATGGCAGCAGGTTTGGCTGAAGCCAGAAACTGTTGTCCTCTAATTTATTCTGACTCATAGAGACCATAGGACAGAATAGAAGCTCTCCGTAGGGTTTCTGAGGCTGTAAATCTTTACAGAAGCAGATTGCCTCATCTTTCTCCTAAGGGGCACTTGGTGGGTTTGAACCATTTCCCATTGCATCATGTCAGGAGACACTTGTTAACTAGCCCCATAATTCGTGCCTAATTTTCCCCCCATTTGGAGAATAGAACAAATTACCATAAATGTCATGTAGGAGGTTTGAGTAGAAGAATAAGATAGTGTCTAGTGCTATCGGTATCTTACATATATGCTATACAGATCTCACTAAGAAGAATTTGAAGTCTTTAGGTTGGAAGGGATATCCATATGTTTTGAGGTAACATTTCCAATAGCATATCCCTTGCAAAGCCTACTCACCAAAAGCATGAATAGTTGGCCAACTACCAAAGGTAAATAGAACACATGAATTAAGGAGTTTAGAATCTATCCAGTCTTAGAGTCGTAACCTTGGTTCACCTAAAAATATTTCACAGATCATGGGAAAGGCACCTCAAACTCAGGATCAGTCTTGTTCAGTTTCTAAAAGAGAAGGTACTGCCATGTTGAACAGAGCTAGTTGTGCCAGCAGGAAGGCAGCAAAGGGAGATAAAGGAAAGGAAACCACAGATTTTGAATGTTTTGTGCTGTACTCCACTAGCTTGCCTGCAACTGTTTAACTAGCTAGTGATCTTAGGGAAGTCATTAACCTCTTCATTTATGATAACTGGAGCAAAAGTTTATGGGCAACATGAGCCAGGTCACTGAAACTAAATGCGTTATCCCTCTTATCCTATTGGACCTTCATATCAATCTTCTGTTACAAATGAGACTGAGTTTTAGAGATGCCCTGTCCATCATCACATATCTAGTAAATAGAGGGTCCATAGCTGAATCCATAGTAGTGGTTCGAGCCCACCAGCTGCCCTGTGGGGGAAAGATGAGGCTTTCTCCTTCCAGTCAGATTTATAGCCCAGGAAACCCTATACAGAGTCGCTGTGAGTTAGAACTGACTAGTCGGCGCTTAGCAACAACAATATGTAAACTGAATGATCATGTATCTCAATATGGGCTATGCTGAGGAATCTTTTGTCTCTCATACTTCGGACATATTATCAGGAGAGACCAGTCCCTGAAGAAGCACACCATGCTTCGTAAAGTGGAGGGTCAATGAAAAAGAGGGAGACCCCCAACCAGATGGACTGGCACAGTGGCAGCAGCAATGGGCTCAAGCATAGCAGAAAATGTGAGGATGGCACAGGACTAGGCAGTGTTTTGTTTGGTTGTACATAGGGTCGCTATGGATCAGAACCGACTCAACAGCACTAACAAGACCAAGGAGTCCTCGTGGTGAACTGGCTAACTCGACTGCTATCCAAAAGCTCAGCAGCTGGATTGAAGGAGAAACACATGATAGCCTGTCTCCATAAAGATTTACAGCTGTGAGAAACCCTATACGGCAACTCTACTCTGTCCTATAGGGTCGCTGTACGTCAGAATACACTGGTAGCAATAAGGATGCCACAATAGGGGTGGAATCTGGAAGAGACAGAGAAATTGGGGAAGGATACCGACTCAATGGCACTTCACAACAACAACAAAAGAAAAAGTAGATGATTTCAGGGTGGGTAGGGAAAAGGAGGCTTTTAGGGAACGGGAACTAGAAGAGTTAAGAGAAATGGGAAAGGAAGTTTTTGTTGTTGTTAAATGCCTTCCAGTTGGTTCTGACTCATAGTGACCCTGTATAGGGGTTCCAAGGAGCAGCTGGTGAATTTGAATCACTGACCTTGCAGTTCAAACTGACCTTGAAGTCCAGTGCATTATTCCACAGCACCACACCACACTCTAGGAAGGGGAGGAACTGGAAAAGTTAAGGTGAAGGAAGGTATTATTAGAATATTACTAGTTAGAAAGAATCACCTGGGGTTGAGAACTCATGCCCTTTTGTGGGTCAGTCTTAATTTTCCCTCCATTAGTTTAGTCATCAAATCCCAAATGCCTTACACATGGCTATTCACAGTACAGTTAGGTACCTTTCAGGTAGCCCTTAGCATCTCTCACCTGGACTACTGCAAACACCTGTTTACAGGCACACCCCACTCCACCAGCTCTTCCACATATTCACTAAAGGGGTTCAGCATGGTTCCTGTGTCACTTTCCTAGCAATATGTTTTAATACTTCATCTTATACCTAATATGCACTAGTCATAACGAACACTACAGTTCTCTAGTGGGCCATGTTCTTTTACTCTTTATTTTTTTGACCAGGCTTGACCTTTTCACTTGGCCTCTGGAAATCCCTCAACATAAAAACCCCAAAACACTGCCATCACGTCAATTCCAACTCGTAGTTACCTTATGGTACAGAATAGAACTGTCCCATAGCATTTCCAAGGCTATAAATCTTTACAGAAGCTGACTTCCACACCTTTCTCCAGCGGAGCTTCTGGTGAGTGCAAACCACCAATCCTTCAGTTAGCAACCAAGCTCTTTAACCATGATGTTTTACCAGGTCTTACTCCTTTCATCAGTAATGACTCATGCTGTTTTCAACTGCTAGTGCAATAAAACAAATCAGTCACAAGATGGCAGCATAATACCAGGAAATTGGCCACTCTGCAGTCTCCTCAGGTTTCTGTCTAAAATTATAACCTAACATGGATCCTAATGTGGTCTACAGAACTGCAAATCACAAGGTCGCAGGGTCAGACTCACCAGCTGCTCCTCAGAAACCCTCTGAGTCTGAATGAATTGGAACTGACGCAATGGTGCTTAACAACAAGCACTGATCCTGGATTATGGAATTGTAGAGCAAAATAGGAATAGACTAGAGTCTGTTTGGTCTAGTTTTCAGAAATTGCTCCATGAAATCCTAGGACTTCCTGGGAACTCTATCCTTTGTTTCAACAGGAAAAGTTCTGAGTTTTATTTGTTTGCAGTCAGCTTCCGATCTAGTCTATTCTTTTCATTTTACAAATGGGATGCTGGATCTCAGAGAGGTGACTTGATTAGGGTAGTGGCAGGTTGCAGAGAGGCAGTTCCATATTTTCTCGCACCATCAGTGCAAGTCTCAGAGATTTGTGCCCCAGGCATTGGGGTAGAATCTTGAGAAATGAATAAGAATTTGAAGCAAATAGTGTTCTTGCTTTGTCATTTTGATTACTTTGCAACTACTCTGCTGGCCATAAACTAATAGTACAGAACATAATGTAATTTCATGTTATACATTCTCTCAATGTAAAGAACACAAAACTCTCCACAACTGGAGCAATAAATAACATCATGATAAATGGAGAAGAGATTGAAATTGTCTAAGACTTCATTTTGCTTGGATGTAGTGTAGTGGTTACGAATTGGGCTGTGAACCTTAAGGTCAGCAGTTCGAAACTACCAGCCGTTCCGCGGGAGAAAGATAAGGCTTTCTGCTCCTGTAAAGATTTACAGCCTCGGAAACCCTGCACAGGGTCGCTATGGGTCGGAACCAACTCGACGGCACTTAACAACAACAACAACCTCATAGAAACAGCAATCAAGACATCAAACAATGTATTGCAGTAGGCAAATTGGTTACACCAGCCCTCTAACAGGTTCAAGAGCAAAGAAGTCAGTTTGAGGACTAAGGTGCACCTGACCTAAGCCAAGGTATTTAAAATGGCCTCATATGCATGTGAAAGTTGGACTATGAATAAGGAAGACTATAGAAGAATGGATGCATTTGAGTTATGGTGTTGGAGAAGAATATTGAAAGTACCATGGACTGCCAGAAAAACAAACTAATCTGTGTTGAAAGAGGTACAGCAAGAATGCTCCTTGGAGGCAAGGACGGCAAGAATGCCATGAAGTGGAGGGTCAGTGAAAAAGAGGAAGACCCCTAATGAGATGGATTAGCACTGTGGCAGCAGCAATGGGTTCGGGCGTAACAGTAATTATGAGGATGGTGCAATACTGGGCAGTGTTTTGTTCTGTTGTATAAGGGCCGTTGTGTAAAAACTGACTCAACGGCACCTAACAACAGCAACAACATCAATATTCTATAGTCACCTAAAATAAACTTTGTAAAGCTAAGGTCTATGTTTTGTTTTCTCTGTGTGTTTTCCATCTCATCTTACATGAATTTCTGCATCTGGAACTCATTCATCTGCATCAAGCATTTATTGAGGGGGATCCATAACTGATTAAGGCTTGGTCCCTGCCTTTGGAAGAAATCTGATGGGAGAGACAGAATGAAGTTGGAGAATTTGTAACATCATGTGATATGCATAGAGAGTTGTGGAAACACGAAAGGAGGAAGCAATGAACTTGAGTCTGAAGTTGCTGGCTTATATTAGACTTGGCTTCATTTTAAGCCTTCAGAAAATACACAGACATATTATTAACAACTAACATTGTCTTCCAGAAAGCAAATATTGTTGTGGGGCAAGGTACTCTATGTTATTAGTCTATTTTATCATTGAATAAAGCTTCTCAATTCTGCAGCTCTTCTCTTTGTTTTCCCTTTCTTCAGATTATTTTCTATAAAGAGGAAAATTTCCAAGGCTGCCACTATGTCTGTGATGGTGACTGTGCAGATTTCCATATGTTCCTAAATCATGGCAACTCCATTAGAGTGGACGGAGGCATCTGGGCTGTGTACATATGAAAGGCCCAACTTTGCCAGGCACATGTGCATCTTACCTCAGGGCTAGTACTCAGCATACCAGCATTGGATGGGCGACAATGAGGGCCTCAACTCCTGCAGAGCTGTTCACCTGGTGAGCAGGAGACTTCCGTGCTCCCTCACTCTTATGTGAAAGAATGCTATTAAGGTGTTCCCAAGTTTTAATGGGAGCCTGGGGGGTTCTGGTATGGAGCTGTAAGATAAGCAGTGAACTGAGAACTGCAAGGTTGGTGGTTCAAACCACCAAGTGCTCCTCAGAAACCTTATACAGTTACCATGAGTCAGAACTGACTCGATGATATGCAACAACAACAAAGGGAGCCCAGATGATGCAGTATTGAAAGCGCTCACCTGCTAATCTAAAGGTCAGCAGTTTGAATCTACCAGCCATTCTGTGACAGTCTGCTTTGTCTGATAGGGTTGCTGTGAGTCAGAATCAACTCATGGCTGTGGGTCTGATTTTTGTTAATGCGTGCCTGTCTTGTGTGGACTACTGAAGCCTGAATAAAACCTTGGGGCAGTTCATCATAATAATGAATACGTGAATTATTTCCATAACATTTCTTCTACCTTTTGAGTATTTTGAGGAATTAATGCTTTTCTTACTGGTGGTGGGGAGGGGATGGGTGAGAGGTCAGATCATCTAGTTTTCAGGATTCTTAACTATTTGGTTCTCTGAGTTCTTAATTTCCATAACGACCCACTGTTCATTTTCTCTTGTTTCTTTAGTCTAGTGGAGCCCAGTATAAGCTTCAGATCTTTGAGAGAGGAGATCTCAATGGCCAGATGTATGAATCTATTCAGGATTGCCCTTCCATCATGGGGCAGCTTCACTTGCGAGAGATCCACTCCTGTAAGATGCTGGAAGGTGTCTGAATTTTCTACGAGATGCCTGATTACCGTGGTAGGCAGTACCTCCTGGGCAAGAGGGAGTACCGAAAGTCCACTGACTGGGTTCAGTGTCTCCAGCTGTTCAGTCTTTCCACCTTTCCGCCATATTGCAGAGTAGTAATATGGATGAGACCACACACTTCTTCCTGGGGGCCAAATGCTGGCTGGTCTTGTTCTACAAATAAACATCATAAATCAAACAAGGGCTCTTACACTGTTGACTGTGATTCCTCCTTTTCAGTGCTTTTAGGGACCAGTGATACAATGCTCCTCACGTTAGGCAGTTACATAAAGCAACTCATCTTTCGGATTGCCAGTCTAGTTATTTGTGCCAAACCAAATGGGACTGCATTAAAAAGTTGGAAAAATCATAGTGTAGTGTGATGGTTCTTTTTGCTTGTGTTTTGCATTATTCAACAGTTATGCTAAATGAGTCGGAACCGACTTGACAGCACTTAACAGCAATAATACTAATAATAGCTGCCATTTACTGAGTGTCTACATCATTCCAATTTTTATTCACAACAATGCAATAAGAGGTGGTTGATTGCATTTTTCAAGTAAAGCAGTTGAGGCTTAAATGAAAAAACAACATGCCCAAATTTATCTGCTGAAGAATGGAGGAGCCAAAGTTTGATCCAAGATATGTCTGCTTCCAAAACCCATGTTCTTTTTCTCTTTGCTTTCTACACATTCTATCAAAACATATTAGCTGAAGGTCTGTGTATATAATGTTAAGTGCAAGAGACCCTGAAAATTTTTAAAAGGAGGAATGGACAGGACCCATTAATTTGTTGTTGTTAGGTGCACAGCAGAATAAAACACGGCCCGATCCTGGGCCAACCTCACTACTGTTGCCACGCTTGAGTCCATCGATGCTGCCACTTGGCCAATCTATCTCACTGGGGGGTCTTCCTCTTTTTCTCTGACCCTCCACCTTACCAAACATGATAGCCTTCTCCAGCAATTAGTCCCTCCTGACAATATGTCTGAAGTTTGAGAGACAAAGTTTGGCCATCTTGGCCTCCAAGGAGCACTCTGGCTGCACTTCTTCCAGAATGGACCCACTAATAGAGGAGGTAAAGTACCTGTCAAGAACAACCAGTGAAAACAGTGCTCTTATTTGAAAAATGTGGCACCACATGCCACCTAAAATTAATTCTTGACCTTAAGTTCAGTTTTTCTGTGAAAAGAAAGGATGTATTAAACAGTTTGCCCCTACTTCACAATAAGTTAAATGTAGTTTCATTTTGTCTTACTTAGTTTGAGTTAAATAAGACTAAATAAAACCTTATTTTTAGTTATTATAAAGTAGGGGCAAACTGTTTAATATGTCCTTTCTTTTTTCACAGGAAAACTTAGTTTTACCTAGTTTGAGTTGGAATCCTAGTGTGGCTTCATCCTAGTGTGGGTTAATGCACTGGACTGCAAGATTGGTTTGAGCTGAAAGGTCTATGGTTCAAGCTCACCAGCTGCTTCTCAGAAGCCCTATACAGGGTCACTGTGAGTCAGAACTGACTCAACGACACTAAACAGTTTGAGTTAACTCGTGAGGTTTTACCTATATAATCTGGATGATGATGATGAGAACAATGAAGGAAACACAGCATCATTAAGAATATCTATTCAACACCCAGCATACCTAAGCACAATTCTTTCATAGAGATGGCAAGCCCATATCCTCTTGGAGCTTTCCCCTAAAATAACAAATTAGAATCACTGAGTGAAAAGAGCACTTTTTCAGATGCATAATGCCCCCACAATATTTTAATTCATTATATTTTTCCCCCTGCCTTTTGTTGTTTTGAGAGAGGGACTTTGAGAAAATCGGGTGAAAATTAAAAGGAGACATAGAGGACTTAAAAGGGAGGCCATGGGCTGTGCTGTCGAGAGCTCTGATCCAAGAGCTGACTCTCATCACCTGCCCTGGACCTTGTCACCCTACTGTAAGGCTAATGTTCCTTATTTCCAGAATGAGGGAGTTTGAACCAAATGATCTCCCAAGTCCTATCAAACACATTCGGATTCTCGGAAGGTCCAAAGGAAGATGCTGAAAAACTAGCTAATAACCAAAGACTGTAGGCACTTATTTTTTGAGGCACAGTTTCTGAAAGTGACCTCAGAGATTCTGACTCATTTTCTAATGAAGAAACTGAGGCTGTTGTAACAGAGTGAGTTAGTGTTAGTCTCTTCTCAAATCTCAACTGCTGCCATGTTCCAATTCTTGGCGAGTCAGTCACAGTCTGTTCAAAACAATTAGAGAAGCAATTCTGGCAGCAGGACAAGCCAACAAGAAGTGTCAGGATGACTAATCACAGACACAGAGAAGCAGAAGATGGTTTTTGATAGATAAGTCAGGATTATCATTTTGGGGTGTTACATGCCTGAGGCAAAAAGAGATTGCCACCACCCCAGTTGCAGACACATCAATCAAATGGCACCTAAGAGGAATTTTCCTGGCCTTTGATGTTAGAGGTCAAAAGGATTTTCTGTCCTCATCTATCAATCAATTCGAGCACTTCCAGTAGAATATTCTGCTGTTAGAACAAGAAGGGATGCCCCATCTGCCAGCCACACCCAAAACAGCACCTGAGTTGTTCTTGAGAGTTCGCTCTTCTTCTACCTTTTACGGCTTTGCTGACCTGGAGTGGAAGTCCAAAGAAAATAGACCAGGGTAACCCAGTTTCCAGCCAAGCGTTCCTGAGGAAAATCTGCTTGATTATCTCCCAAATGTGGAGTCTACTTCCTCAGAATGTGTGAGCAGTGGCTCTCATGTAAATGCTTCCAGGGTAGGTTGCCAGATTTAGTATGGGGCAGTTTTAGTATATCCCAAGTAACATAACTGTATCCCAAGCATTACATAGGTATGCTTACACTAAGAAATTATTCGTCATTTGTTTGAAGTCAAAATTTAATTGGACATCCTGTATTTTTATTTGTTAAATCAACAAGCCTTCTTCAAGACAAGGCAAGTCACACACAAATAATATGGGGGATAAAAGCATAGGAAGTGGTTGGTATGAGCTGTGGCCTAACAGTTGTTGTTGTTGTTGTTATGTGCCGTGGAGTTGGTTCCGACTCACAGCGACCCTGTACATGGTTTCCGAGGCTGTAAATCTTTACGGGAGCAGAATGCCTCATCTTTCTCCCATGGACCAGCTGGTAGTTTCGAACTGCTGACCTTGCGGTTCGCAGCCTGATTCGTAAACACTACGCTACCAGAGCTCCTTGTGGCCTAACAGTAGGGCATTTAAATGCAGTAGAAAAACTAACACTGCAAGCCAACATGATGAGGCCACAATTGAATTTGGTTAAGGGACCACGGATTTTCAATCTTTGCTTGTCAATGGCCTCTGAATATTGGAAAATGCTTCCTTACATTGAGCTCAAAGCTGCTTTCTGTAACTTTCCACCAACAACATTAGCACTGACAGTATAGATCTTTCGATATTTAAATCTCTCTCCAATTTGCATCCATGCTTTCATTTCTAGGCTGAACAATTCCTACCTCTTCCTCAGTTTCTCTCTTGATGTGGTTGGCTCCTTGATTCTTTCCCTGGTCCTGGCCCTCTCCTCTGTGTGGCTTGGAGTTAGTTGACCATTTCCCCTTCTATGTTAGCTCTAGTCTGACCAGTACAGACTATAGTTGGAGGATTATGCTCAATTCTTTGAGCCTCCTTTCTCAGATTTATAACTAAAAAACCCAAATCCACTTTCATTAAGCAGATTTCAATTCTTAGTGGCCCTACAGGACAGAATAGAATTGCTGCTTATGTTTTCCAAGAGTATAAATCTTTACAGGAACAGAAAGCCTCATCTTTCTTCCGAGGAGCAGCAGGAGGGTTTGAGACCTTTTGGATAGCAGCCCAATGGTTAACCCACTGCATCACCAGGACTCCTACCCTCAGACCTGTACGAGAGTGTAAGTCTTTAAGAGAACCAGCTCTCCTCGTGCCCTTTCTCCAGTGCTGCTCTATCTGAGGAACAAACATTCAGGTTCAAGGCCCTAACAACTCCCCTTCCCCTACAGGTTATGTGTAAGTCACACAATACAAGATCTATAACCCTCTGTTTCCTTACCTGCAAAGTTAACACCGTCATTGTGAGCATTAAAATGAAATAATGTATGAGAAGTACATAGCATGTAAGTTACTACCTTGGTTACCATGTTGGTGCAAGAATCCTCCTTGGATGGTGAGACTTCACCTTACATACTTTGAACATATCAAGAGAAACCAGTCCCTGGAGAGGGACATCATGCTTGGTAGAATGGAGGGTCAACAAACAAGAGGAAGACCCTCAACAAGAAGGTTGGCACAGTGATTGAACAATGGACTCTTACGTGGCAATAATTGATGCAGGACTGGGCAGTATTTTCCTCTGCTGTGAGTTGGAACCAACTTGATGGCATTTAGCAACAAACTACCTTGATTATCAACTTGCTTGATGTTTTGTTTTGTTTCATTTTATTTTTTTACTTATTTACCTTTTTTTCCCCTACCTCTTTCTATCTCCCAGTTGTTTTTAGAAAAGCATCTCTGTGTTTTTGGCAGTTGCTTCCTAGTTGGGAAGCAATATACCAAAATCATCCAATCCATCCTACTGCCTTAAAAAAGAGCCAACTTTTCATTATCATAGGAGTCTGGCCTTCTCTTAGCTTTCTCATAAATTCTAGATCCCAGCAAGTTTTCTAACTCAGAAGGGTTTCCCCTGGCATTCACACAAATCCCCCTTGTCCTCTTCTACCCATTTCTTCTTTCTGTGTGTCTTACAAGATTAAACACACATACACACAAAGCGGTTGCCACCGAGTGGATTCCATCTCCTGGTGACCCATGTATGTCCGAGTATGTAGGGTTTCAATCACAGATTACTTGAAAGTAAATCGGTCATCAGACCTTTCTTCGGAGGCATCTATGGGTATACTCCAACATCCAACCTTTTGACAGTCAAGAGCATTCATCATTTGTACCACCCAGGGAGTCCTTCTTAGAAGAGAAGGCAGCAAATCACCAAGCTCTCCTGCCAGCACTTTGGTTGATCATCTTTGGTGCACACAGTAGAGAGGGACCCCTTATGAGCATGACTTCAATGCAAGGGAAGGCACTCTGTCCACAAGACCTAGAGTCCATCTCTATCTCTTCATTCAAGTCTCAGACTTCAAAATCAGGGAATTTTAGAACTG